ATTGTTCAAGATGCTTAGAATAGTGTGAAGTAAGCTGTGTATTGTTCAAGATGCTCAGAATAGTGTGAAGTAAGCTGATTATAGTCCTGGATGCTTAGTGTAGTGTAAAGTAAGCTAAGTAGAGTCCTGGATCCTTAGAGAAGTGTGAAGCAAGCTTAGTATTTTTCAAGATGCTTAGAATAGTGTGAAGTAAGCTGAGTATAGTGCTGGATGCTTAGTGTAGTGTGAAGTAAGCTTAGTATATTCCTGGATGCTTAGAATAGTGTGAAGTAAGCTGAGTATTGTCCAGAATGCTTAGAGTAGTGTGAAGTAAGCTGAGTAGAGTCCTAGATGCTTAGAGTAGTGTGAAGTAAGCTGAGTATTGTCCAGGATGCTAAAAGTAGTTTGAAGTAAGCTGAGTACGTAGAGTCCTAGATGCTTAGATCGAGTACTGCGAAGTAAGCTGAGTATTGTACTGAAGACTCAAAGTTGCTTAGAGTAGTGTGAAGTAAGTTGAGTAGACTCCTGGATGCTTAGAGTGGTGTGAAGTAAGCTTAATGAATTGTCTTTGACTGCTCTTATGTATGGCGAATTGGTTCCCCAGTTAAGACATGAAAAACTTCTAGATGTAAAATGTTATCCATTTATCGGCTTAATATTAAAGCCCATTAACAACTTACACATTGCGTTGTTTTATTTTGGTGTCTTACAAGCTGCACAAACTCTAGGGATTTAATTATGAAAAACACGATGGCCATAAATGAATTTTATTTATAAAATATTTTATGGACAAGCTGTTTTCAAAAGCATTTATTCTTACTTTTCTTTTCGTTATTCATTTCGGGAATAGGATCGTTCCGTATTATAAATCATGCGCATGCGCAATTCACTCTTTTTTTCGAGAACAAAGGAAACAAAGCAAAATTTTCTCTCAGCTAGTTAAATATGTTTATAGTATATAAAGTTTTACCTCCTCCTCCCTTTCCATCCATCCACTACTGAAAGTTAGTAGTGAGAGTGAGATCTGACAATTTGATTCACTTTGGACGTTTTGTAATGCAATATTTTATAAAATGTATGTTGTTTTTTGTGTTTACTATGTATCACATTGAAATTCATCTGTATAAGTTTCCTTTTGTTCGTGTATTTCGCTATATTTTTGCATATTATCATTTTGTAGTCATAATACTTACATTTTATGTTTAAATGGCTACTTACTTTTATTAAAAGTTCATAAAGTATTTTTCAAGGAGTGGTATAAGACGCAAGATAAAAGGGTACAGGTTTCCAGACTATGGTTTTTCCTGGGCGAGTCGACCACAATTTGGAAAATATTTTATGATCAGCAGTTCATATTACATACATGTATTTGTTTAGGTGGCGTTGTTATCCAACTTTTGTCATTTATCATATTGTTTGCTACAATTGTTTTCTATTTGAAACCACATTTGAAGTTTTGCTTAATCATTTTGGGCGAATTGGTTCCCCAGTTAAGACATGAAAAACTTCTAGATGTAAAATGTTATCCATTTATCGGATTAATATTAAAGCCCATTAACAACTTCCCCAGTTAAGACATGAAAAACTTCTAGATGTAAAATGTTATCCATTTATCGGCTTAATATTAAAGCCCATTAACAACTTACACATCGCGTTGTTATGCCCCCACAATGTGGGAGCATATAGCGTTGCACTTGTCCGTCCGTCCGTACGTCCCGAAATCTTGTGAACGCAACTCCTCTTAAACCGGATGGCAGATTTTGCTTAAACTTACAGGGATGAACAACCTTAATGTGTAGATGGTAGTAAAGGAAAGAATTTTTGCTGCAACCAAATTTAACAGAATTATGGCCCTTTGTTGATTTTTTCACTAGATACTATGTAGAAATTTTGTGAACGCAACTCCTCTTAAACCGGTTGGCAGATTTTGCTTAAACTTACAGGGATGAACAATCTTAATGTGTAGATGGTAGTAAAGGAAGGAATTTTTGCTGCGACCGAATTTAACAGAATTATGGCTCTTTGTTGGTTTTTTCACTATATACTATGTAGAAATTTTGTGAATGCAACTCTTCTTAAACCGGATGGCAGATTTTGCTTAAACTTCCAGGGATGAACAACCTTAATGTGTAGATGGCAGTAAAGGAAGGAATTTTTGCTGCAACCAAATTTAACAGAATTATGGCCCTTTGTTGATTTTTTCATTATATACTTTGTAGAAATTTTGTGAACGTAACTCCTCTTAAACCGGATGGCAGATTTTGCTTAAACTTCCAGGGATTTACAACCTTAATGTGTAGATGTTAGTAAAGGAAAGAATTTTTGCTGCGACCAAATTTAACAGAATTATGGCCCTTTGTTGATTTTTTGTCCAAAAAATATTTGACCTAGAGTCATAAGATTGACAGAACAGTGGCGTGTGGGGGCATCCGTGTACTATGGACACATTTCTAGTTTTATTTTGGTGTCTTACAAGCTGCACAAACTCTAGGGATTTAATTATGAAAAACACGATGGCCATAAATAGAGTCCTGGATCCTTAGAGTAGTGTGAAGCAAGCTAAGTGTTGTTCTAGATGCTTAGAATAGTGTGAAGTTAGCTGAGTAGTGTCCAGGATTCTAAGAGTAGTACGTGTGAAGTAAGCTGAGTAGAGTCCTAGATGCTTAGAGTAGTGTGAAATAAGCTGAATAGACTCCTGGATGCTGAGAGTAGTGTGAAGAAAGCTGAGTATTGTCCTGAATGCTTAGAGTAGTGTGAAGTAAGCTGCTATTGTCCTGAACTCTCGTAGTGTGAAATAAACTGAATAGACTCCTGGATGCTGAGAGTAGTGTGAAGAAAGCTGAGTATTGTCCTGAATGCTTAGAGTAGTGTGAAGTAAGCTGCTAAAGGTAGTGTGAAGTAAGCTGAATACACTCCTGGATGCTTAGACTTGCGTGAAGTAAGCTAAGTATTGCCCTAGATGATTGGAGTAGTGTGAAGTAAGCTGCTTAGTTAGTGGGAAAAGTAAGGGGGGGTTGCTTAAGTAGTGGAAAACTGAGCTAACCAAGGGAAATGTATATGAGTTTGAACAATTTTTCAAGAATTTGACCCAAAGTACAGGGTTTTTATGCTCTAATATGCGTGAGTATTAAAAATATTTGAGCCAAGGCCCACGAGTAATACTCTAAAAGGGATGTTACAGTATACCGTGAGTTGTGTGAAGTGAGTTGAGGTCAGGGTGTCATGAGTAATGCTCTATGGGGGATGTTACAGTATGCTATGAGCTATGTGAAGTAAGATAGATCAGGGTGTCATGAGTAATGCTCTATGAGGGATGTTACAGTATGCTATGAGCTATGTGAAGTAAGTTAGGTCAGGGTGTCATGAGTAATGCTCTATGAGGGATGTTACAGTATGTTGAAAATAGTGTTAAGTACTTTAAGTCCAGGTTGCCGTAAATTATGCTCTATGAGGGATGTTACAGTATGATGTGAGCTGTGTGAAGTAAGTGGAGGTCAGTGTGTCATGAGCAATGCTCTATGAGGGATGTCACAGTATGCTGTGAGTTTTGTTAAGTGAGTTGAGGTCAGGGTGTCATGAGTTATGATCTATGAGGGATGCTACAGTATGCTGTGAGCTGTGTGACGTAAGTTGAGGTCAGGGTGTCATGAGTAATGATCTATGAGGGATGTTACAGTATGCTGTGAGCTGTGTGAAGTAAGTTAGGTCAGGGTGTCATAAGTAATGCTCTATGAGGGATGTTACAGTATGCTGTGAGCTATGTGAAGTAAGTTAAGGTCAGGGTGTCATGAGTAATGCTCTATGAGGGATGTTACAGTATGCTGTGAGCTATGTGAAGTAAGTTAAGGTCAGGGTGTCATGAGTAATGCTCTATGAGGGATGTTACAGTATGCTGTGAGCTATGTGAAGTAAGTTAAGGTCAGGGTGTCATGAGTAATGCTCTATGAGGGATGTTACAGTATGCTGTGAGCTATGTGAAGTAAGTTAAGGTCAGGGTGTCATGAGTAATGCTCTATGGGGATGTTACAGTATGCTGTGAGCTATGTGAAGTAAGTTAAGGTCAGGGTGTCATGAGTAATGCTCTATGAGGGATGTTACAGTATGCTGTGAGCTATGTGAAGTAAGTTGAGGTCAGGGTGTCATGAGTAATGCTCTATGGGGGATGTTACAGTATGCTATGAGCTGTGTAAAGTAAGTTGAGGTCAGGGTATCATGAGAAATGATCTATCAGGAATGTTACGATATACTGTGAGTATTGTAAAATAAGTTGAGTCCAATGTAATTAGTAATGCTCTATTAGAAATGTAACAATATGCTGTGAGCAGTGTTAAGTAAGTTAAGTACTTGATGTAATGAATAATATCAGGAAATTTACAGTATGCTGCGAGTTGTGTAAAGTAAGTTGAGGTCAGGGTGTCATGAGTAATGATATATCAGGACTGCTACGATACATTGTGAGTATTGTAAAATAAGTTGAGTCCAATGTAATGAGTAATGCTCTTTTAAAGATGTAATAATATGCTGTGAGCAGTGTTAAGTAAGTTAAGTACTTGATGTAATGAATAATATCAGGAAATTTACAGTATGCTGCGAGTTGTGTAAAGTAAGTAGAATTCAGGATGCCATGAGCAATACTCAATGAGGTATAAGCATGCTATGTGCAAAATTAAGTTAAGCTGAACACAGGGTGCCATGAGTAATACTATTATAATATAGTTAGGTTCATTATGCTATGAGTGAAGTGAGTTGAGCCAATGATGTCATGAGTATTTTTCTACGAGGTATGTTTTTATTCTAGGTTTTTTCTGTTTTTATATCGAAATGTTAGATAATTTTCTAGTTATATAAACACAAAACGACTTGAAAATAACTCCTGATAAGACATTCGACCATGTTCTTACCCTTTCTTACTAGTTGCGGTAAAAGGTATATACTTTTTTAAAAATAAATTCCATATAATTTTAACGATAGCTGGCATACCATTGGCATAATATATATAACTCAACAAAATTCTACCAGCCTATAAATTTTTATTTCGTTTTCTTTCGGCTGGGGAGCTCAAATATTAAAAAATCAAGTCTGGTGACTCTCATATCAACTGTTACTTCTGAAAGTACCACTTTCAGTTTAAACTCACACCACTGTTCATCTCATATGCACTTCTTCATTATCCCTCATGTACAGACTCAATCAAACCGAGTCTGCAATTTTCATGTAATTTTGTTGTTTTTAATGCGTCCGAGGAATCACACTTTTGCTAGATTTTTGAAAGTGACAACCTGTCAAGTGACGCCATGTCTCTTACTAAAACTATCAAATGGCGTTTGCTTTTAGCATTTTGTTTGTCTTTTTATCACTCAATTTAGTATCGCTTCTCTCCCTTTTTCCTCCATCCGCCACGGCGCTTAACTGGAACGACCTTGACCTCGTCACTGTCGTCTGCAACATTGCTGACCTCCAGCCTCTTGATGATTCCATAACGCTTTGGAAAGGAAGCGGCGATCTCGGCCGAGATTTCATCAATCAGCTGCTCGGCTGCCTTAATTCCCTCTAATGCTTCAACTGATAATGAAACTGCAGGTTCTGGTGGCGAAGATGATGTGTCGGCCATTTTCTTCAACTGTGCCTCTATGTATAGAGCCATACCTGGAAAGAAGCAGACGAAAATATTGTTATTCATTTCAGAAGTGTTTGCATAACAAATAATAAAATATTATTTGTTTAAATTGATGAGATTCTTTAACATTTCTGTCTGTTTCAGACATTGTGTTGATTCTTTCATTGCAGCGTCTTTGATGCAGACGACATGTTTTGTTTGTAAAATTTATATTAAAAAAAACACTAAATCTATGAAGTTATGACATAAATGGCATGGCATGTTTATTTTTACGTTGTTTTTCTGGTTTACGTTCCTTGCTAAATGAGCAATATTTAGCGGTTGAATTTTTTGCTGAAATATTATTCAAGAGTTGATTTCCATATTATTGGTGACTTTCATTTTAGAAAATTCCAAAAAAGATGTTTTTTCCCTTCAAATTATAGAAACAAAGATTTATAAATGCACGAGTCATTGTAACAGAAACTGCGGGAATAGCGGGGGAAATCAGTCAGATGTTAACTTTTTCTTCGTTCCCGCGCTCGCGGGTCAGTTATGGCACAAAATAGCGGGTTATTACTACATTGAATAGTTATTTACTATAAAAAAAATCAGGCTTAGCTGTTTGGTGGTTAATTGTACATAACGGAGACTTAACCTTTTACAGAAATCCCCTCTTCATGCAGGTTAGTCTATTATGAAATATCAATATGTATTCTGTATTTACTTTTACTTCAAAAGAAACACAAATGAAGTAATTACCTAATTCAATTTTTCTTTTCCTATCTTGCCATTTCTTGACCTTTAATAAAAACGTTCTTGGAAATAGTGGAACCACAGCCACCATCTTCCTTGGACGCTTTGCTGGGGGTAGCGATTCCTCACGAGGGCTTTCGGAACGCTTCCTCTTTCTGGATGCATGTCTGCAAATAAGAAATTTATTGTCTACACTATTTCTTTCCGCTAATTGTGTTAATATTTGATTTTAGTCACTATTTGAATTTCAAAACATCTATGTAGGAAGATGACTATTTCTTAAAATTGTAAAGTTCCCAATGTTGTTGTTAACAAGATAAGTCTCTAGATTAATAACAAATATGTTCCCGTACATAGCATGTGAAAAAAATAAGCCTAGATCTGGTTTATATAGTAAAATAAATGAATCAGTTCGGAAAAATTAAACTCATTTGATGTAGAATAATGATATTTATTATGTATAAATGTATAACCGTATATACAAGACGGGTCTCAGAACGCACGAGTATTGAGAAATTTCATTTCCTATTCTATATAATACGCGTATATAAAGCAAAAATACAAAACAGAGATAAATTATTGTAAGCCATGTTACAAGTTTAAAGCTCTAATCAATATAATAATAGAGGTCTACATGTTTATTTCTATTACATGTATCTATTATAACTTTATTCAGTTACTTACAACTGTTGCCCAATAGACCTTAAGGTTATTTTTGATCGGGTTCGATTTCGTTTTGTCAGCGTATTCAAGATCGTAATACTACCAAATATGAAATATTTCTACCGCCAGGTACTGTACATTATACAGGTACTTACTTTAACATGTCCTGAAGACGTTCTACGCTTTGTGTTGTTTTCTTCATTATAAATTGTCGTCTGCTAGAAAATCGTCGTCTGCTTTTAAAGATTGCTGTTTCTGTTTTGACGTTGTTAGCCAAAGTAACAACGACGTTATGACGACATCGACAGTTACGTCACAATGTAAAGACGTCATTTACGTTAGTAGACTAAAGGGTACACATATTCTTTTACTTTTGGACCGTACGCCGCTTTCATGGAATGGCACTGACGTGTCACATTGAAGGTTCCATGATAACCCCATAATAAACACACCTGCGGATGTTTCAAAATTCAAAATTTCACCATTTTCATGTTTAAATGTAGAATTCTGCTTAATACGGTGCTATGGAGCGTGGACGGTACCTTTCGCTTTCTAGTACCGTCTATGAACAGGCTCACTGCAACAATTTTCATTTTTGTCGTTTCGTGCGTTCTTTAGGGATACTTTTTTCTCTATCTTTTAAATAATAATGTTGTTAACAGTGTTTTGAAGCTATAGTGAAGTGTTTCTAAGTGGAATGCATTCATAATAGATGATTTATCCGCTAGCTCAACAGGAAGAGCGCCAGATTAGTAACCCAGGTGGCGCTGGTCCGATCCTTAGGCGCGTGAAAATTAACAGACGACATCGAGTGTAATGTTTATTTGTTTCTCATCGCCGATTAAAAATCATGTTTTTTTTCTTCTTCTTCTTTTCCCTTCTATATTTTATTTTCTCAAAATCTATTTGCATTCTGTTTGTTTTTGTTATATTTGGCAAATGTATATATTTTCTAAGTCATCGAAACGTAAATTATATAAAAAGCAGTTAACATTGTTAAATACTATTCAAACTTGTGAACATGTACAGTCATTCATCTTTATTTGTCTTTCTAGTTTTAATTAAGCTTACATAAAATCATTTTTTAAAGCCAAGTACTATACACGTGTACGTGAGTTTTGTTACTTCTATCTTAATGATAGTCATTCTTGTAAAATATGTTATTTAAGAAATAATATATCCCAAACTGTGATTTTATTGCTCAATAACATCACTGTTTGGAGTTCGGATGCGGGGATTTATATCACGAGGGCGTATGCGCATCCGAACGACAAACAGTGATGTTATCAAGCAATAAAATCATCGATTTGGATATATTATTTCGATTCTAACACGACATCAACAAATAAATGCGGCCGTACATGATAATTAGCTAAATTGCGTCTGATTTGTTTCCGTACTTATTGTCAGCGCATCACATTTTTAGTGGTTACGTCACGTGAATAATGATTACGTCACATGTCTAAATATAGAACGTCAAACAGTGATTTTATAGCATAATAACACACACTTTCGGTTCTTCTATGTTCAATAGGGAAAAATGCGGGTCGTGTTAGAATGTAATTTATTGCATCAGGGAAGACCCTTTGCTAATATTGAGAGAACATGTGGGTCAACCATTTTGCCAAATATTTCATGTCATTTTGTAACTGTTTACGTGTATGTATATGTCTCTCTTTTTTTGGCAATAAAATATTTTTAAATCAAAAATCATGTTTATTAGTAGACGGTTACAATCGGAACATCCTCGGCTATTATCTATGATATGTATATATAGAAGACTGACGAAAAGGGCCGAATAGTTGCGATTGAGACGGTTATTGGCGAAGAGATTGGTTATTATCATAACATTACATTGATTTCTGTTGATGAAGTGCAAGCATGATAAATTTAGCTTTATCATATATATTGAAATAACATTAAGAAAATGGAATATTTTTTTTTTTTATCTTTTACTAGTTTTAAAAAAGATTACACTGATAAACTTTGAATCGAATATATTTTTTTGAATATTAATTAAAGTCTCTCTTACGTTGACTAAAAAATTTTGGGACTATTACATATTGACCCTTGGCAAATAACTGTGCGCGGCATGAACCTGAGTGGTTCGTTACAGATTTGTTTTTGTTGCATTTGAAATTTAAAGAAACGCATATTAAAATTAAAAACATGATAAATAGAATAAATAACAAGTTTCTGATCTCGCCCTTCTTTTTTCTAAGCCTTGCCTGATAAATTTTGTAATATCAGACACTAGCGTGGTATTCTCTATTTATTTACACCCACCATGCAAAGAAAAAAATGAATAAACTGATGAAAAAAACAACGCTTTAATGAATGGCAATAGGTCAGCCATTTTTATCTCTGTATACCTTTTCAAACAATTTTTTATTCCCATTGACTCATTGATTATACATTCTGACAACTGCGCCTTATAAAATCAAAGCACAGAAGGCGCTGAATTTGTTTGGGTCTCAGAATGTCAGAAAGGTGAAGGTGAAATAATCATGGAGCTTACTATAAGCATGTATATCTATAAAGAATAAAACAATATTAGAAATCTTCGACCATTTGGGAATTATTTTGCTTGAAAATTAATGCGCCTGTCATTTGACCATCTTTACGCAGTGATCTCCCCAGAATTTTTCGGCGTTAGTGTACATATAAAGCCAATAACCGCTTCAAAAAGCGGACTACTTTCGGCAATTGCAATTAACAGCATTAGAGTCTGAAATTTCGCCACCATTATTTGTTTGGTCTGACGACCCAAACAAATAAAAACGGCTTTAGAAGGCATATTGTATGGATAATGACCAATTCGAAAGAAAATAAAAGAATTTAGGCATATGTGACATATTTGTACGATGGGCTTACTGTTGTCATTGTAGTGATAACGCTCTGAAATGGTTTATCTGCATTTATAAGTATAACCTCATAATAACTTAAAGTAAACACAATAAATTTTATGTCAAAAGCATGTAATTCAATGCACCTAGGATATTTTGGACAGTGTCACCATTCTTTCATTCATGTTACTGTTAAAAGTAATCTGAAATGCTATACTATTTACAATCAGAAAAGAACTGTTACTATTCTACCGTCGTCGAGCTTCTTCCTTGATTATTCTTTAACTAAAAAAGAGAAAGAATCTGAAATAACTGCATATATAGACAATAACACCATGTAACGCTATTTAGAGAACGAACTTGTTTTTTAAATTTTAGTATAATATTTGTAAATAAAATGGTCAAATCAGTAATATAAGATATTAACAATAAAATTGATGTAATGAGCCTTATATTTATGGCAAGGGCTCTGCGTTAAACTTTTTTTAGTTTTTTGTAACGAATGAACTGACCGGTTTTCCTGTGGGCTTCTGTAGTTCTTAATTAAGCATTTACAATTTCCCACACAGTTTAATTAGAAACCGTTTCATGTTGTCGGTTAGATTAATAATGTGTTCCTCCTTTGCTCCGTTTGTCTGCCCTTGCTGTTCTTTTGCCCCTTTGGGAGCCGTTGCTTTTGGATTGTGTGAGGGATGCTCTCTCTCGTGTTATTTTTTATTCTCACATTTCGAACACACACTTGAAACACAAATACACTGGTTTGATATCATATTTAGCTTTCAAATGCATTATTTATTATATTTGAACTAGATCTATACAACACACGACATATTATACTATTATGCATGTCATCATACTTTGCTTTAATTTGTCGTCTTAATGTATAGTTCTTCTTAATCTTGCTACTTTTATTTCATGCCTAAAGTTGCTACTATAGTCTGTCCCATTAAAAATGGAAATGAACTTTTGCCTGGTATGAATTAACAAAACGACGTTGAATAAAAATTTTACTTTTTGTAAACAAAAAAAAAAGGCACCCTCGAGATTTTTCAGGATTTTACTCTAAAGTGTCTACTTTTCTTGTGAAAGCAAATTTTGATTCTCTATGGTAAATCTCTGTTGTTTATTTTCCGTAGCCATTGCCGAAGTACTCTTCATTTGAAGATAAACGGGAGAAAGCACGTGTCATGTTTCTAAAATATTACAGTATTCTGTCTTTTTCGTAACAGACAAGAACAAGGGGTTTATCGCAGATTTCCATCTTATCAGGGGGTCTAACGTATAGCGGTGCGATACACCTTTAAGCGAGGTGATTTCATGCGATACGCCCTATAGCGGATTTACCCATGTAAACACACGCCAGAGTGAGTGTTTTTATTAAGTATTTCATAAATCTTTGATTACAATTTCATATTTTGTATTGAGGATGTGAAGATAGGACCGACAGACATTTCATCAAAATTACAGAGGCCTAATTCATAACTAAAAAAGTTATTGAAGGTAAACTGACGGCAACTAATTTTGGGTCGGTGAATAAAATCGCTTAATGCAAGCTTATATTAATATAGTTAATTTCTTTTTCTTTTTTATTCTATAAGAGTAATCATTATTGAGTTGCATAGCAAGTACCTTTGTGCTCCGATATACATAGACGCTTACTGGTCAAAATAATTAAGTGTACGCGCTGAATTTTGGTGCGATAAAATAACTGTACGCTGTTAAAGGTTCGATATTTTTCATTATCACATCTGCTGTACATGTTTTCCTATGATTATACTAAAATATCTACCATATATTTGCCCGTTTCCGGAATTCTGAAATCTTTTTTTTCCTTAAAGATTTACTTGAAATAAAAGTTTTGTATAACCATCTATATAGGTGTTTGAATAATTAATAATAATTATCCTGTGATAATTAGGAGTTGGAAAAAAGTAACCTTTACTCTAAGATCTTAGATAAAAAGTAGGAATTTGACCAAAATATGTAAGAATGAATTTAAGAAATAGAATTGAACATTTCAAACAACCTATAAAATACATTGAAAGTACATTTCACTGATGTTCTAGAGATAGAGACTGAGAACCAGGTGGTAAAAATCTTTAGGTGGTAAAATTCTTTTCTAAAATCTTGCTTAGAACAGGTTATTTGTGTAGTGCACATAATTGTGGCCTGTCAGGAAAAAACACAAAACTACAATTTCAAAAGTCAGTCAGTCATTGGACACCAAACAGCTCAGTGTCTTTCTTAGGAACAGCTGATGCTCACATGTGCAAATACACAGTTGTAAATGTTGCAGAGCAATTAAAACATTACAAATTGATTAACGAACAAATCTACTGCCAGATAGGTAAAGTACCACAAGTACAAATGCTGACACATGTGCAAATAAACAAAAAAGCTTTTGAGTATATAATATTAGATTGTGTCACACTGCTTATGGAGTATATAAATA